TGAATAAGACTCTGGATGAGAGAAAGGGCTGAGAAGAGGGCACAGAGCCTGAAGATAGTGTTCAAATTGTTGTGAGTTGTTGGCTTTACAATGGCAGGCTGGGGATGGGAGGTAAGGCTTTGAAGCAGAACAAGGATTGCAAATGTGGGATGCATCTAGGGATCTCTTAGGGGATTCAGTGGAGGCTCACTTAGCAGGACTTTGTTGGGTTATGAACAAAGCTCTTCAGCATAAATGGAGGAAAATCACTTGCTTTGTGGACAACAAAGAGATGTGGCTGAGGATCCAAGAAATACTGGGAGATCAAGAGCCTGAAAACAGTGCAGCTGGGATCTTATTGGATTTGTTTAAATGCTTTCAGTATTGTAACTTTGTTTTAGATAAGAACCTGTGTATGGATTGTAATGATTTAGCCAAAATGGCTCTCCAAGGTGATTTGTAGAAATCAATCTTTGGTAGCTCTAGCTTGTAGCTTTACTAGTTAGGGCTTCATTGTGCCTATTTAGGCCTCGATTTGTAAGACTATTTCGTTTGAGTAATTTATATTTGGTTGTCGTTGGAAAAAAAAAAAAGACTATGCTCATATAACTTTGCGAAAAATTGCACTTAACCAATTTCTGGTCATCGTCGAGAATTTCTAAGGGCAAAATTGACTTTTCAGTCATCCATTAAATTAATTGTCATTAAATTATTTACACTTTACCCACCCACATTTATGTTTCTTTGCACTTTACCCACTCAACTTTTTTTTATTTACACTTTGCCCTTAGAAATGGCCGTCAGACGATGACTGTAAATTTGTTAAGTGCGTGAGTAAAGTGCAAAAAACCGTATAGATAGGTGGGCTAAGTGTAGTTTTCCTAAAAAAAAAGGCAAATTTAAAAAGTTTTTTGTAATTTTATTATCAATTTACTCAATTTATAAATATTTGGATGATTTGTTTATGAATATTTGTGGAACAACTGATGAGAACAAAAATATACAACAACAACAACAAAGCCTTTTAGTCCCAAACAAGTTGGGGTAGGCTAGAGATGAAACCCAATAGAAACAAAAAAAATAAAAATAAAAAAATAAAAAAAAAATGGAGAAAAAGAGAAAGGAGCAAAAGTCACGGTTCCGGCACGTTGATCGCTAGTCTCCAAGCGCTCCTATCCACCGCTAAATCCCTGGAGATATTCCAATCTTTAAGGTCTCTCTGAACCGACTCTTCCCAAGTGAGTTTAGGCCGACCTCTACCTCTCTTAACAACATCGACCCGCTGTAGAACTCCCCTGCGCACCGGTGCATCAGGAGGCCTCCGTTGGACATGTCCGAACCACCTCAGTCGATGTTGAACCAATTTCTCCTCAATTGGGGCCACCCCGACCCTATCACGAATATCCTCATTTCGGATTCTATCTCTTCTTGTGTGCCCGCAAAACCAACGCAACATCCGCATCTCTGCTACACTTAGTTGTTGGACATGTTGCCTTTTTGTAGGCCAACATTCAGCACCGTATAGCATCGCCGGACGAATCGCCGTCCTATAGAACTTACCTTTTAGCTTTTGTGGCACCCTCTTATCACAGAGAACGCCCGAAGCTTGACGCCATTTCAACCAACCGGCTGCAATTCTATGCCTAACATCTTCATCAATGCCGCCATCATTTTGTAGCATCGATCCTAAATACCGGGAAGTCTCCTTCTTGGTCACCACTTGCCCGTCAAGGCTAACATCACCATCATCCTGAGTAGCCATGCTGAAAGCGCACGTCATGTACTCAGTCTTCGTCCTACTAAGTCTGAAGCCTTTCGACTCTAACGTGTCCTTCCACAGCTCTAACTTCCTATTTACCCCGGCCCTACTTTCGTCACGAGAACAAAAATATATTGGTGCTAAATTATATTCCATATATGTTTAAAAAAAATAAAAAAAGAAATTATATGTGTGGAGATACAATTTCATTTTTTTCAGATAAAAGTAATTGTTCCATTTCATCTTAGCACTAAATTATATTGGTGCATGCACTTATCTTATGCTTAATTATTGGGTTGTTGTAAATTGTAATGATTTTTCCTAAGAAGCTTAATTAAGCATGGTTTAATGTGAAAGACTTCTATTCATTTGTTTAGTCAGCGCCAACAGTTGACTGAGTCCACTTACCTTCTCAAATTTATGTAAAATATATTTTATTTACAAAATTAATTTAGTAAATAAACTAGAGAAATGTTACAAAATTATTAATTTTTGCCAAATATACTCATCAATACATTTTCCCAATAATATATTTATGTATATATTTTCTAACAATTTTAAGTGAATCTAGATATTGCGTTAAATTAAAAATATGATATTTTATAAGGATTTATTATAAATATAATTATCATAATAGTTTAGAATGACAAATAGTTAAAAACAAAAAGTTTATGCTATGTTTGGTAACCAAATAAGCTAGCTTATAGCTTATTTGGTTAGCTTAAAAGCTTCCTGTATTCAAATAAACCCCGTTTGGTAGGACGAGCTTTTTTAAAAAGCTCGAGCTTATCTTATAAGCTTGTTTAGGTAGTTTTTTAAATAAGTTAGTTGAATATTTTTATCCCAGCTAGCTTATCAGCTAATTTTACCAAACGCCTTTATCATATAAGTTAGCTTTTCAGTTATAAGTCATAAGCTATAAGCTCGAAAATTACATATAAGTTATAAGCTAGCTTATCAACTATCAGCTAGCTTATCAGCTAGTTTTACCAAACATAGTTAATAAAACGATATTTAAAATGAAATGAACAGAGTGGTTAGGAAAAATATTATAAATTCTTCACATGGAAAATAAATGCTAATTATATTGTAAGATTCAAATTCTTTGAACTATATTATCAAACTCTTAACAAAAATTGAAACAGTACAATGCATAGATTAAATAACACAAACACATTATTTTAATTCATGTAATCATGTAATCAATAAATTAAAAGTAAAGTATAATTAAGACAACATAATTATTATAAATTCGAATCAAAGCCCTAAAATAATTGTTGCCCCTCAATAAATAGTATTTCACTTTCTCCTATTCATTTAATTATAATAAAAAAAAATTCCCTTAGACTAATATTAATTTTTTTTAGGGAAGATTAAATAAAATGTATTAATGCTATAAAGTCGTATGGTTTCTAGATAAAAGACTTTGAGGAATACTTTTTGGAAGTCTAAGCATGTTTGAGAATATATAAAGTAATTTAGAAGTTAAAACTATTTATAATTAGTTGTATGTTATACACCTAATTAGCAATCATGTATTATAGTATTTTATTTATAGCTAATAATGTAGATATATATAACTATACTTTATTTATTAATATATATTTGTATATTCACTATATATACTTATATATTCAAATGTCGTAACTAAAAGAGCATCATAAATAAAAATATAATATTTATTAATATCGAATATGGTTATTCATAAAATATTGCTGAGTTGACGACCCGGACCCACATAGACAAAAATATCGCACGGGTCGTGACTAATTTTCACATAATATGCGATTGGGTATACTTTCAAATTAATTCTTCCACATTATTTATTTCTCTCTCTTTAATTTTACCTCTAATTTCTAAATATAATTCTCAAATTTAAAATCAATTGTCGATAGTAAATATTACAAATATCCATAACTATCAATTAATATTATTATTTATCTATTATATTATTATGTTTAAGCAAAATTAATATTGATTAACCAAAAAAAAAAAAAAAAGACACACCCAAGTAAAGAAGTGTGCATAAAAAAACCGACACATTTGTAGTGGTCAACTCGGTCAATTAATTAAACGAGCCGCAAACTGAGTCAACTCACCTAATTTTCTAACTAACTATTATGATTAAATTGACTGTTAACAAAGGCAAACGTGGGTTCTGAACAGAAAATTCTGAACCTTATAGTAAAAAATTAATAATTAAATTTAAGCTTTAAGAAGAAAAAAATATATATGTCACGTATGAAAAATTATTTTTTACAGCTTCATCATATCGCGTGTCAATTAATTTAATTTTTTTTACCTAATTAGCTTATGTCATTCAATATTCTTCTACACTGTATGAATTAATTAGATCACATTAAGAAATAATTTAAATTAAAAGTATGTCCGTATGATCAAAAGAGTCAAATTAATTACGTAAGTACATACGTAATTGATTAAATATGAATAATATAATTATTTTATGTCACATGTTATAATATTCATATTTTTTTTTGTGTACGAAAAAAAAAAAAATTGAATAATATAACATGTGACATCAAATAGCTAGTATCACAAATTGTTTTAACAAACATTCTATTTATTAACTGTCATATTTTCTGAAAAAAAAAAAAAACATATATTTATAATTTGAATATTAGATAGTATTCATAAATTGTTACGTGAGGTAGCCTAACGTGTTGTACGGTTGACTGTCATATATTTTGAACAAAAATTAATAATTGTATATTGGTAGCCAGCCACGATATTCGGAGCTATGCCCCGATTAATCCGTTGGTCGACTGGGGTTACATACCTGACAGTGGTGGGTGAGTCTCCCAACAAAGGTCTTTTGTATTCACAAATATTAACTTTTACGTTACTTGAGCAGTTTAAGAGCTTGTTTGGAAACACTTTTTAAACAGACTTTTGAAGGTGAAAGTGTAATTGAATAAATTTTTATAATTTTCACAAATTATTGCGTAAGTATGCATTTTTAATAAAAATATATTATATAACCATAGTGTGAAAATATTACATCAAATATTGGGTCATGCAAACGTTAGCTACTATGACTAATTAGGCAAAAAAACACTCAAAACTCCTCAATCCACACCACTCCATACAATCTATAAATAGTTCTCACACTCAAACATCAACACAAACTACCATCACATTCACATATCCTAAATACACAACAACCCAAAAACAAATATATAAAAAAAAATAGATAGAATATTTTTTTTAGTAGAATTCATATATGATGACAACATCTCCATTAATGTTCATGTCCTTGCTCCTCTCCTTGACCTCCATCTTGTCTCCGGTGGCCGCTAACCGTTGTCCTTGGGGACCTCCGGCACCTCCGGCCTCGCCGTGGTGGTGGCCGACACCTCCGACCTCACCATGGTGGTGGCCGACACCTCCGTCAAGGCGGCGGCCGACACCACCGCCGCCACCTCCTAAGCTCTCGTCGAGAAATTTCTACCGATGCCTCAACGAACACTCTCCTATCTCGTTCTCGACCGTCTACGCCCCGGACATCGACCGAGCTGCGTTCGATCGCCAGCTTAGCTCGACTGCCCAAAACCTCCGGTGTCTCGTACCCTCTGTCCCGAAGCCCCTCCTCATCTTCGCCCCGAACGACGAGTCCCACGTCTCGGCCGCCGTCAATTGCTCGCATCGCCTCGGAGCCAACCTCCGGGTACGATCCGGAGGCCACGATTACGAGGGCCTCTCCTACGTCTCGTTGATGAAGAAACCCTTCATCATCCTCGACCTCCAAAACCTCCGAGACTTCACCTACGAGCCCCGAACCCAGACCGCGTGGGTCCAGGCAGGGGTCACCACGGGCGAGTTCTACTACCGCGTGGCCAACGCCACGGGGGGAGCCTACGGCTTCCCTGCGGGACTCTGCATGAGCCTTGGAATCGGGGGACACATCACCGGCGGCGCCTACGGTGCCCTAATGCGGAAGTTCGGGCTAGGAATCGACAGCGCGATCGACGCGCGGATCGTGATGGCCGATGGCACAGTCGTCGCCAGCGTGGCGCATTCCGACCCGGACCTTTTTTGGGCCCTCAAGGGAGGCGGCGGGGGAAACTTCGGAATCATCCTCGCGTGGCGGCTCAAGCTCGTCCAGGTGCCAGGCAAAGTCACGGGCATCACGGCAGCTCGGGTTCTCGACAACAATGGGATAAAGACACTCGACAAGTGGCAAAAGAAGGCCTACCGGATAGACAGAAATTTGTTCATTCGGGTGCTCATTCAGAGGAGTGGCCCGAACGGGCCGGTCCTCGCCATCTACAACGGAATTTTTCTCGGAACAGTTGATAAGCTCGTCTCGAATATGATGAAAAGCTTACCCGAGCTGAAGCTAAACGGGTCGACCGAGTGCAGGGAGATGTCGTGGATCGAGTCCATGGTTTACATCGGCGGGTACGCCAACGGAAAGCCCATAGACCTTCTCGACCGGAAGCCCGCGTTCCTCAACTCCTTCAAAGCGAAATCGGATTTCACGCGCGGTTTAATAACAATGAAAGGACTCGAAGCGCTCCGAGACCTACACAACACGGGAGACTTTTCGCTGCTGACGATTATGAATCCGTTAGGCGGGAGAGTGGCCGAAGTCGAGGAATACGAGACGGCTTACGTACACAGGGGAGCGGCGTACATGATACAATACGTGACTACGACACTCAACACGAGCTTGGAAACCACGGCCAAGATCCACGAGTTTATGACGAAGGTTTACGACACGATGACAAGTTACATTCCGACATCGGATGGAACCCGAGAAAGTTATGTTAACTACAAAGATCTCGACTTGGGGCTGACCGATTTCTGTCCGTCGAATTGCAGCTGCCCCGAATCGTGGGGCCACGCGTACTACAAGAGAAATTTCGAGAGGCTGGTGATGGTGAAAACCAGAGTTGATCCTTATAATTTCTTCCTCTTTGAACAGAGCATACCATCATGGTATAATCAAGGAGAATGCTTGAAGTTTAGTTGATCGGCGGGAGTTCGAATCGTGCTCGAGGGCCTCACTTTGGCTGTGAGGTGTTAATTTATGCTTCGATATATGTCGTTTTCTCTGTTTTTTTTTTTTTTTTTTTGCTATTTCCACGCCTTGCGGCTGTCGAGTCTTCTTGTTAACAGTCGCAAGGTCGTTATCCTCTGTAATTTCGAGACTGTTAAGGTTAAAGTTAAGGAAAAAAAATGAATGATATTTGTTGAAGAACATTATATGAACTCAAGATTCATTTAAAGAATTAAATAGAAAAGAAAAAAAAAAATTGAAAAGAAGTAAAAAGCATAGACATTTTTACTCGCAAAGAAGGTGAAGCCACTGCATAATCATGTTCATGTGTGCAGTCAAAGGCATGACATGACCAAAAAATAAACAAAAAGATGGAAGACTTGTATTAATTAAGTTTAAAACTAGCTTAAAATAGCTTAATAAAGTAAATGTTACGATCTCGTTACGGTACCATCCCGTCGGGTGTTTTAATCGTTAGATTGTCGGATGTTTTAACCGTTGCATCCACATGTAGTTAGTATAAGATAGATAACAAACGTGATGGTACCGTGATGGGACCATAGCATTTCCCACTAATTAAATCATCAAAATAATCATAGAAGTTATTGCATTAAAAAGTAGATGTTGAATCATGAATATGCATTGTTATGTAGTTTTTGTCTGATTGGTACTATGAGGGGGTTGGATCAAATGCGATTGGCCAAATAAAATTTTGAAACTATTTGACAAATCCCACACTTTCTGTTAGTAGACTTTATGAAGAAGAAAAAAAAAATTGGGGAGCAACTTTTAATAGATCTTTATTTTTTATATATTTTTTTTAGTGTTAAGTTACATTGAAAAATTCAAATCCCTGTGAGTAGATTCTATTATGAATAATGATTTAAGGGTTAAGTTACATTGACTAATAAGGGATAAGTTACATTGAATGATTGAGTTTAAATGAGGATTGACATAGGAAATTCAATCTTGGTCCTCTAAAATGAACTTTGTTCATTGTCCAGTTTTGGTACGCCAATTTTCCTCTCATAAAAAATAGTCCACTATTTTACAATTTCGTCGATTTTAGTACAGTAATCTCGAGAGGTCGGATTACGTGATGACGTGGAAAATTATAATCCTATCCAAACTCGAAACGATCTCGAACAAAATTTGAGAAAAAAGTTCAAGGCAATCTCGAGCATTTATATTTTTATTGAGGCATATTCATATCATCAAGCTTTGTTCAATACGAATATTGCTCAACTCAACTCGTTTGCAACCCTATTTGGATTCTTTTACATTAATTTAATGTTTTCTATATTCCTCGAAAAAAAAAAAATGTATCGAATAGTTTAATTTTCAAGATAATGTAAGGGTATATTAGTAAAAGCAGGAAAAAGATATTGCCAGATATAAAAATTGGAGTCTACTGAAAAGTGAAAACATCCAAACTGGACTGGATATTTGGTGGTGTAGGGTAAAAAAGATTATCACTTGCCATATGAACTGTGCTGAGCTTTAGCTTATCAGATGAGTGGAGATGAGAAGAGCAAATCATTTAAAAAAATAACTCGTCTTCGCCATCCTTTCCTTGGCAGTAACTGAAACCGATATGCTGTGTCCTGATAGGAATTGATATGGGTTCTTGGAGAAGAAAACAAACGAAGACATACGAAAGCCAGCTTCTTTCATGAATTTAATCTTAAACTAATTGAACAGCAGATTTACAAGTGAACCGGTCATCATATACATGAAAAGCAAAACCTAAGAAACATTGTGCAACTGTAAAAAACAAAACTCCGACCTCATTTGGTCATAACGGGCTCTTGCCTTGCCAAGTCTTCCGGTTCAACAAGTCAATAACCACGATTGATATATGCACAGCATGGCCCATATTGGTTCAAAATGCCGGTATATTTAGTCGCAGTAACATGGCCAAAAAGGATTCATGTTCGTCCTGAAGGGTAACATTCGCACATTATTATCACAATAAGCATAATACAACAACAAAATGACGTATTGGAAGGATTAAAATTCAAAAAAAAAAAAAACAAAGAAAATCAAAAT